TTGCAAAATGATGGAATATCAGCTACAAACATTCAACAAATAGAAATACCAGGAGAATTCAAAAAAACATTCAGAGGAGATACATTCCTACTGTACGACTCAGGAAATGAAGATCAAAACCGAATGATAATATTCGGTACGTATAACAATCTGGCTTTATTACATGAATTTGGCGACTGGTGTGTAGACGGCACGTTCAAAGTTGCCCCAAAATTGTTTTACCAAGTATACACCATTCATTGCTTAGTAGACAGTAAGGCAGTTCCTATGATATATGCATTGCTGTGTAACAAAACTAAAAATACTTATATAAGATTGTTTACCAAGATAAAAGAGCTGGGGAAGAATCTTACTCTCACACCCTCTAGCATATTATCGGATTTTGAGCAAGCAGCCCACCGTGCGATCGAAGAGGTATTTCCAAACGCAGAAGTGGTGGGATGTTTTTTTCATTTATCTCAAAATCTATGGAGGCAAATACAAAAAACGCCAAGTCTTGTTGCCAAGTATAAGGAGCAGGAAGAGATAAGAAAGCATTGCAAGTTTCTCTTGGCTCTCGCGTTCGTGCCAGTGAGAGATGTACCGTTTGCGTTCGAAATTTTGAAAGAAGTAGGTTTTCCAAAAGAAATGGAAACCGTCGTGAACTATTGGGAGTCCACTTACGTAGGCACAAGGACAGAAGGTATTCGTCCCGTTTTTTCCATTTCTGTTTGGAATATGTATGACAGACTGCAATCCCATCTACCTAGGACAAATAATTCCTTGGAAGCTTGGCATAATGCCTTCCAGCAAACTATAGACTGTCACCATCCATCAATGGCAAGATTTTTAAATAAACTGAAGCAGGAACAAAGCATCAATGAAATATTCATAACAAGATTCAGGACCGCATTCAGATCCCCAACTTGTACAAAAAGCAGATATTACCAAATAAATCAGCGGCTTATAAATATTTCCAAAGAATATTCCTTGACGACTGTTGAAAATTACCTATGTTTTATTGCAAATAATCTGTCATTGTGATGATATTTTTAAGAGAATTGAAAATGTTAGCTTGTTTTTCAGTACTTGAATGTTCACTGTTTGACCATATATCGTATTTTTTATTAAATAAATATAGTTGTTTGGTTGAAATTGAGGGCGAGAGTGTAGTACGCATTTTCTTAACAATGAGCTATTTTGTTACCGCACTTTTTATATGTAGTTCTTTTTCATCACAGCGCCTTTATGTTACAATCGTTGTTTTATTGTAGCGCTGTATTGTTGCACGCTCTTTTGTCACAGTGTTATTCTGTTCAGCGCTGTTTCGTTACCTCTCTTTTGTTACTCGCTATTTTGTAAAGCGCCCTTTCGTAATAGCGCTCTGTTGTCACAGCACCGTTTTGTTACAAGCGCCGTTTTGTTACAGCGCTCATTTGTTACACGCTCTTTTGTTACACGTTATTTCATTACAGCGCTCTTTCGTTACGCGCTGATTTGTTCACCGCTATTTTGTTCAGCGCTCATTCGTTACAGAGCCGTTGTGTTTTAATTGTCTATAATTTTGTTTGAGAACTTCTATAAACGTTTAAAAACATGAGTCATCATTGTTGTGTACCTCATTGTTCATCTTGAGCAAAAAAATCCCGAGTATAGCTTTCATTCCTTTCAAAAATCAGGACAGTCTAAATTTTCATTTGAAACTAATGATTTGGGAAACAAGGAAGTGATCGGTAGGAGAAAGGTGTGGATTCATAACTTGAAGATTGGAAAAAGTGTAAAGTGTCTGAACATAATGAGATATTGTTCTTTACACTTCACTGAAAATTTACTCATACCTATAGGTATATTTTCAAATGTATATGTCTATTATGAATATAATACCTACTTCTTGAGGTGGTGGTAAAAGAACAAACAAATTTCAAACTGATTATATCTTTACTCATGAACAGTAGAATTTTTAAACAGTTAAAGAATGTTATCAAGCAGGGTTTCGATGATTATGTTGTAAAAAGTCAAGTAGAAACTGTTTACCTAAATTCACCTTCCAAAGAACACTTTATTCCCAAAAAGTTTGCTGGATTTTGTTTTAAAAATATCATGCACTATCAGGGGAATTTCCCAGCTATATATTCGAATTGGAAATCAACATCCCACACAGGTTTTCATGAGAATTATTGTTCAATAATGATAAAAACTTACAGCCTATGCATGTTGGTATATATGAAGTTCAACTAGAGGTAGGGAGGTTATCTAATGTTGAACAGAGATAATATAGTCCTCAATCAAAACACAGTAGACCGCTGGAAAATACAAAGTTCGAAAATAGACAAATAACAAAGCTGGACGTTTGAAAACTCAAAACGAAATGAACATAAACACCATTACCAAACAATGTAAACAATCCGCCAATGGCCCATAGACATTCGCCGTTCTGGCGCTACGATCTTAATCTCAGTCGCCTATACGGTACAGCGACACATTATTATGCCAAACGGAGGAAAAGGTACAGAAAAACCAAGGAAAATAATTTTTCGTTGAATAATCGAGATACGTTTAACTAAACTGCCTTGAGGCTATGTAAATATATTAAGAAATCAAATGAATATTGATAAATATTGAATTTCATCATTTGAATATAACTGCACTTGAACTCATGTCAAACCGAGTCTAACACTAAATGAAAACCTTCAATAATAGATGTTATAGGTAACGGGTAACTTGATTATTGAACGAAGAACGAAACATTTTTTTTTCTGTGACGAAATAAAGTTTGACATTTTATCTCTGTTGTCCGTGGCCGAGTTTGTCTATGCGCTGAAATTCGCTAGATAGCCGTTCACGATGCGAAGGTACTGTCGGCTCGAATCCGACTATCGGCTGAGCATTCTTCTTTAAAATGTGTGATTCATGGTTGTAATCCTGGCAGCACGTCGATGCCCTAGAAGTGGTTCGGATTCCACTATATGCTGTAGGTCCCGCTCTTCCTAACCGTTCACAAATTTCAACTTCTGTGGAGTTGGCTCCCAACTTTGAAGTAACGACATACAAATTGCACAAAATTATTTTTTTTACTAAATTCGCAATTTTTTCGAATCAAAACAGTATTCAATTTACACATATTCGATAACTTTAAAGTGTTTCCTTTGCAACAATTAATATGACCACAAAAAGATACCTGCATACACAGGTACTACCAGTTGAAAACTTTTCTGATTTAATCATAATGTATAATATCTTCTCAATATTGAATCGTCGTTTTTCCTGTCACAGAACAAAATAGTGTATTATACACGGGAAAATATTAGATTTTAGCTCACGGTTTTTTGTATCCCTCCGCTACGCGTCGGGAGACAACAAAGCCTCGAGATAAATTCAAATACTTTTTCCCTTGTGCAATAATTATTAATTATATTCGTGGATTTCTGTGCATTCTTCCCATTTTTGCATAAAAATGTAGCCTGATATTCATGGCTATGAAGAAGTATCGATACTGTAGTCATCACTACTGATCTAGTTTCCTATTATCATGGACTACCAGATTTGAAAATGTGTGCGCTTTTTCATGTGAAAATGTAAATATGTTACATATGGCTGTGAAGGGAATTCTCAGCTGTATTCAATGTTACACAAAAAAATTATGGCTTCCATAAGAAAAACATGAACTTTACAGAGAGCTAAATGGGATAGGTCTATTTAGCCCTCTGTAAAGTTTAGTAATAAAACATGTGAACACAACCGTGAATAACATTAACTTGGCGGTTATTGTCTATTCACGGTTGAGTGGACATATACTTAGTATGTAAGTTGCCCGCTCTAGGATAGAGCATTTAGTTTTGATAGTGTCGAGGTGTAAAAAATCGGTTTGGTTAGTGGTAAAACAGTGTGTAGTTTATTATATCCTATAAAATTTCATCATTCAATGTTCAGTTTTGTTTTCGTTTATATTTGGGAAGAAAATATTAGATGGTATTATTAGTAATTTAAAAATTGGTTGGGACAAAAACAGAAGGAGGAATGAGGGTAGGAGCCGCAGTGGTCCCAAGAATTATTAAGCTTAGGGCCCCAGAACTCGTAGGTCCTCCACTGGTTGCATGGTAAATCTCTGAAAATAATGAAGATAAAATATTTCTGACAATCCCAACTTCCTTGTCAAGATTAATTACCTGCCCTCACAACATTTTAAATTCATTTCTCTAATATTAACTAAGAAAATAAAATAAATTGAAACGAAATCAGTGATTTTCAGTTTTTTCAAGATATTTCAGGAACCGCTGACATTTTTCCAAATTGCAAAACGTCGTATTGAAGAGGTTCAAATTACGCAACTTTTATCTAATCCAATCATCTCGCGATCTCTTACCGATAAGGAAATAACAACACTGTCTCCATTCAATCGACGGGACCTTGTATATGGGGGAACACAAAGATGGCCTCATTATCAAAATCGAACCTATACATATGTAGTATATGTGTAGCAAACTGATTGCTTCTATCATTAAATGTACAATTCTTACAATAATTTCACGAATCTGCTGGATGACATTGTTGTTTAGTAAATAGGTACATTATATAACAGTTTTCGTATTCATATCGTCTATCTAAACAAAAATCAGGTACCATCAAGTTAGGATTCACAATACTCATTCTCCACACTGGATTTTCTATTGACTCGACAGTTACTTGAAATCCATAGTAAATGTAAAAACCTTCATGTGACCGATAAAATTTCGACAAAATCATAAAAAAAACATGATATGTCCCTCTAACTTTTTTTTTTTTTTTTGAGATATACCTACGTAAATAAATATATTCCAAATTGAATAAACATATAAACATAACATAATAAATAAATAATGGTTTTCCACTTCATTCACTCCACAGTAGATTTTTCAAGTGAGATGTTCCGACAATAATATCTTGTTTGTGAAGTTTTTTACGATATCAATCTGATCTGGCATCATATTATTCAAGTTTATATGATGGTATTGTATATCTGAATTAGCGGAATTTTGTTTCAGAAGGTACCAGCCAAGAAGTCAAAATCTAATTCTAAAAGTAGTAAGTCGGAGAGCGCGTCCACAGAAGAAAATTCATGGAGTTTAGGAAAGAATCGCTTTGTGAAACTTACTGAATTCAAGAACAAATGGTATATAGACGTTCGTGAATACTATACTAATAATGATGGTGATATGAAGCCTGGCAGGAAAGGTATCATGCTCACTATGGATCAGTGGCAAAAATTCAAGGACTGCATAGGCGAGATTGATGATGCTATTAAGGAGAATGTTTAGCTTAAAATGTTATAATTAGTTTTGTCATTCTGATGTTTTCCCCAATTATTTGAAACTATGTTCGTGTTTTCAAAATAATATTACAGTTGATATATTTCTTAACTGAGATATTTCGGGTTCTCTATTTGATACCCGATAATATGGTGTGCATATAACGGCACCCGAATATTATTATTTCAATGTGAGTTACGTCTGGTGCGAAATGTTCATGTAGTTTTTCATCAGATGGTTATGGTCTCAGTCAATTCAAATTGACCTCATTAAGATTTATTTTATGTCAGCAGATAGGTAACACCTTGAAATGATAATTTGCATATTGGAACTTGACTTTTTCAGTCATGAACGATCGAAGAACCTGTGGGTCAGTTATATTCAATTCATCATTCCAATTGAAAAATGCCGATATTGTAAAATATGAAAAGCAAATATAACATTTGTATGTTGAAGTCTTTTCAAAGCACTTTTCTCCAATAAATCATGATCAGATATCAGATGCATTTATTTCGATTTCTACGCTACTGAGTTGTTTGTTTCTTTCCTATGTTCAAAATGTAGCATCTGAAACTAATGTTTTTGAGGCTATAGCTAGTGTTTTTTCAGGATTTAAGCAAAAATGTTTTTGTAATTTTATGTATCAATAAATTTAAGTTTATGTTCTATTTTTCGAGTATTTACTTATATTGTCAGTCTGGGCGTGGGATCAAAATACTATAGCAGTGAAAACGAGCATTAGTCTGTAAAATGATCCTGTTCTTGGAAGTTGGAGTGGATACAAATAAACATCAACACAATCTATGAGAAAATGAAAGTGCCTAGTGCATTTGAATCTTTCTTTCGACCGTGATACGAGAAAGACGAGTGATCCGGATTCATAGATTCACTTTCCATTATTGAATTATGAGCAACTGTACCTGAAGTGCTTATTCGAATTAGCACAGGGCAATTTCCCACATAGCACATGTACAGGGTATCTCAAATAACATGGGTCACCCCCTCATCTGGTAATCTAGAATAGATCTACAGTCATATGAAATCTATTTTTTAGATGTCAACTATACAGGATGATCCATAAGCCTTTGACATACCAAACATAGGTTTTTTCAAATGGAATACTCAGCTCTGAGAAAGACGAGTTCAATGATTGATGTAATAATACATTAAGATGGCGGGTGGAGCAGGCTTGCTATCGCCAGCTCCTAAAGAATGCGAAAATTTTATATGTAAACATTGTCAAAAAAAAGTTGTTACGAAAGTGGAGTGTTACAAATGTACAGAGGTTTTTCATCCAGCATGTTTAAAACAAGCAAGAGAACAAAAACATGCAGATTTTAAACATGAAATCGAACAAGGTATGAACGAAACGAACACTGTTGAAAAAACCTACCTCAAAGAACAAGACAAATTACTCCATCAAATGGTGGCAGACAAAAACAAGATAATCGCAGACAAGGAGCAACTGATTCTCCTACTGCACGAGAAAATTGCATATTTGGAATCAAGGAGTTCGGCGAACAACTCAAATTCCACAAATTATGGAATATCCAGCGATAGACGAACAAAAACCCAGGTAGCAGAGTGACGTCCAATTGACGTCATTTTTGGTCATAAAATGACGAAGTGGACGTCCAAAAATGACGTCTGAGAGACCCTATAATGACGTCAAAATGTCACAGCCATATGACGTCATACTTAGACGTCATAATGACGTCGCAGAATGACCAATAAAGGAGGAATTAAAAAAATTAGGAGGTTTATATATATATATGCGGTAGTATTATTGGTACATACTAATTAATATACACCACAAACCTTTGCTGACATTCATTTTGTAACTATACGTTGTGGTAGTAACTTGGTTGATGGTCCTCCCGGGCAGTCCTGTTGAATCCTAGCGCTATCGCTACTACCTATGAATCTCTATATGACAATATCGTTAGCTACTCGTATTTGTACCTAAAATTATGTAGCGAACGTCGGCGAGATGTAAGCTGAATAAACTTATTTTTAGCTAAACTATCCATTTCTGAGAAATCTTCTGCAGCAGGTCGATTTTATTCCCGATTTGCCACATTTGAAATAAGAATCATATATATACAGGGTGATCCACGTTTAAGTTAAGACGTCCGCGGCAATTTTTTCAATAATTGGAAACAATAATAACTTATATTAGATACATTCAATTTTTGAAATATCCATGGGAATCCGAATTTAAAAATATATTACACATAGGGTTTGTATACAGTGTGTCCGTTAAATTGAGTCATCTCGCGTGAAGTAAATAAAGTAGCCAATCAATGTATTTATAACCATACAATTCCTTGCTGAGGAATCTTCCAAAATAGGTCGATTTTCATTTTAAATTACCAACATTATTGAGAAAAAATTGAATATACAGGGTGATTCAAGTTTGAGTTACAATGTCCGCGACCATTTTTTCAAAGGAACACCCTATAAATTATTCGATTTTTGGAGTATCTGTGGAAAGCTGGATTCAAAAATATATGAGTTTGTATACATCAGTGCATGTGTTGAATTAGGTTCTTTTGCAAAGTTGCGAATAAATTTGTTGAAAATAGAAAAAAAAATTTTTCAGAGGATGATGCTCGAAGCCGTAGAATTTCATTTTCATTCAAGCTTTATCTCATATTGAATCAATATATACAGAATGATTCGTGTAGGAGAAATTACGTCATCTTTATATTTTAATGGCGATCCAATTTAACGAGAGAACTGAATTCAACAAACGCCCTGTATACAAACCTTCTGTGTGATATACATTTGATAACGAAATTCAATAATATATATCCGTTTGAAAAATGCGTCGTGTACGTCATAATACAAACGTGCATCATCCTGTATATTTGATGATTCCTCCGTATAAATGTCGAATTGGAAATGAAAGCCTCTCCTGTTTTCTCAGAAATACATAAGATTGATAGATATTGGATAATAATGAATTTATCCACTACTTCACGAGAGCATCTAATTTATTGGACGCACTTATTACCTATACAATCCACATGATTGTGTTAAACATTTTCGAATTCCGCTATCCATGGTTATTCCAAAGATTGAGTAATATATATAAGGTGCTCTATTTAAAAAAAATGCCGTTATGGTCATAACTCAAACGTGAATCACCATGTATGTATATTCAATTTTTCTCATAAATATATGGCAAATTGAAAATGAAAATCGACCGTTTTCAGCAGATTCCTCAAAAATGCATAATTGGGCTGAAAATAAATTTGTTCATCAGTACTCACGAAAACACTCAGTACGTACAATTAACAAACGATGAGAAAGTAAGAAAGCGACTGATTTTTCTTATTTGGTCGAATATACGACTTTGTAGGTACGTCATTAAGACGTCCAATATTGAACGTCAATAAGACGTCATGAAATATGACGTCATTTTTTGGTCCCTCTGAAGTCGAGGACGTCATTGACCAATAATGACCTAAAAAAGACGTCATTATGACGTCATTCCACTAACCTGTGCTACCTGGGAAGTGCGACCTCCAAAAAAGGCGAGACAACTGAAAAAACACAACAAAGAATCACTGCCCAGCCAGCACAAAGAGGTCCTGAAGATATCTTGAAGAAATTCTTCTAGGAAATTGTGATGCCTTTTGTAACTTAATAATACTATGCCAAATGTCCGCAACCTAGGCTGAGGTCAGCGAGGATATCTCACGCAGAAATTCTCATGCAATGCCCTCAGGCGCGCACTTTGAGATACAGGGTGTAAATTTGAAAACTTTCAATGCGAATATCTCGCGAAAGAAAAAAGTTAGAAAAACGCCGTTTGGCAAAAATGCTAAAGAATTAAGGGGAACTAGAACCACCATATTTCGGTCAAGGGATGAGTCACCCCCCACTAAACATTGTAATTTACAACAATTTGCAGCAAGTATGATAGTCTTTTACAATTGAAATCTTTCTTCGCGAGTTTAATGAGAATTTACTGTAAATTTGGTTATTTGCAACTTCCATTCGAAAATTGCCTGTAAGATGATTTTTAGAAAGTTTTCAAAAATGAGCTTATTGTAACTTGAAAAAAATGAACTTACCACCACCTTGATATGAGAGTTGGCGTTAAACTTTCAGTATGTAACTTCACTAGTGAAAGTTTATAGTAAAATCATTTTTATCAATTTACCACAAGTAACACTCTACAAATTTATCATAAGTTTCCATTAAGCTTTATATGTATCACGTGATACAATTCGGATGCATGCGCAAGCGCAATAATCGTCTCTTTGTTCTCCTTCTTCACCTCTCTGCCATCTTGTTTTGTCTTTGCCAGTGAGTTGTGATGAGTTTTGGTGTTGGTGCGCTGTGTGATTATTTCTTATTTTCTTAACAAATTACCTATCGAATGTTCGGAATTCAATAACCCTTCTAAAGAAGATCATAGTTAAGCAGAAATGGCGGTAAGTGAATCATATTTCATTATCTTAATCATCGTGACTCTTTCATGAACCAGAAATAATTTAAGACTTGATACAGGTGGAAGAAAAATTGTGAAATATCAATAGACGTGATTACGATATATGATTATAACCGTCATGGAAACTTTTCCTATCAATATTTTCATCGTGCTTCCTTCTAACCAACCATTATAACACAATTTTGTAAACAAACATCTCAGATATAGGTACCTAACCTCTGTAAATGCTAAACAGAGATTGTCAAAAATGTTTCAACATTCATGATGCTCTTTTGTTTTAATTTTCTACCTCCATGTTTTTGATGGTAGGTATAGACACAGATTAAGGTTTGTTAATCTGTGGTATAGGTATTCATATTTAATATTACTGACTTTATAAAAGCTTGTTTCAAATACCTACCTCTACTTATCTCGAAAACCGTGAGGTTTTTACTGAGGTCAAGTTGTTGTTTTCTGATAGGTTAGGAACTTGTCTATTATGACCCAAGCATGGTTTACTGGATACTCTATATAAACAGGGTGGACCATTTTAATCTATTATGGATATAATTGTTCTTTCCGGAAGCCGCTAACAAAAAAATTGCTTTGACAAAATTTGAAGGGTTCAATGGGGGCCAAAGAATGGCCCTACTCACAACCCACCTCAGGGCACCCATACGGCCCTGGGATATGAAATTTTTTTCCCAGGGGAACCGAGATGGAAACCCAATTTTTTCACAACGGATTCTTGTTCTACGGAGAAAATAAAATAAAATGTTTAGCAAATTTTTATTTGCGCCCCTTAAAGGGCCCCAAATTTCTAATTTTGGTATTTGAGTTGGAGAAAACAAAGAATCTTACTTCATTCATGTAATTCGTTAACCAGATTGAGGGTTTGCTTAAAAACATAAAGTAGTGCCAAAGTAGATTAGCAGGAAGGCCTAATTTTCTCCAACTCATATACCAAAATTAGAAATTTGGTGTCCAAATAAAAATTTGCTACATTTTTTTTTCACCGTGAACAAGAATCCGTTGTGAAAATGTAGGGTTCCCATTGAAAAAAAAATTCATCTCCGTATGCGGGCCTGGGGGGGGGGTGTGAGTATATCTATTATTTGGTTTCCATTGAACCCTTCAACTTTTGTGGAAACCATTTTTTTGTTAGCGGCTTCCGGAAAGAACTATATTATCCATAATAGATTAAAATGGTCCACCCTGTGTATGAATAT